GCAACACAACCATTGATTATTACTCTAGATTTAAATCACGGAAATATAATATTTAGAATATTAGGCTAATACTATGTTATTATGTGAAGGTAAAACGTACGATCTCTGTATCAATATTTAGATGATGGAAATTGCTTTGCTTTTTTACACATCTCTTTAACTTAAACACGTTTGAAACACTTATACCCTTAATAGTTTAAGCCATTTATCAAGCAAAATATGTATAATGAAACATTTAACTTGAGGCTCTTTGTTGGTTTAACCAGTTGAGCCCCATGCACCGGGGAAAAACGCAACATCTTGCAAGAAACAGCGTCTGAGGGCTTCTTAACATTTAACAAACTATAAATGTGTCGTACCCACTTAACGGGAAGAAACTCAGCAATCAGGCAATATTAACAATTTTTAGAAAAACAAAACACAAGGGTAATATCAAGCCTCTGAATTAGCCCTGAGCGAAACAAATTCTAACGCACTTAGCACAGAACTCACGGTATACATACTTTATTACTTATCGGATCTGCACAAACAAGATATAAGATTAGAGCTGAGATTCCACCGATTCTAGAGGTATAAGTATCCTCACTGTGCGACCAAAACTCAGGGCAGCGAAGGCAAACCTAGACAACACACCACGTAGCTTTACGGAGCCAAAACGGCAAATATGTCTTACCTTTGCTGTTTTTCTGATCAAAAGTTGTGTAGCAATGTGAAGAGGACCCCTTGGCCCTCATAGATAAAATGGACGAATTCCTAACCACAATAATAGGTATTCCAGCACTAACTACAGCAGTCATCATCCGATACTAAAAAAAGAGAAACTGACAGATTTCCATGGTACAAAGGATTCCTGGCGCTTTTTTTCTCTCTCCTCAACTCACAAGAAAATAAACATGTTATGACTTGTATTGATGCCTCAACTCCATTATTTCTCTAAAAGGTATGCTGATAGCCTGAGAATCCTCTGCAAGATTTAATCAATTCACCAGAATAGTGTATTTCATATCTATTTCTGCCTCTCACTTTACTGCAGTAGTGCTAGCGCTGCTCAGTCCCTATAATGAAAGGCCCCCTAGCACCCTCTCCAGAAATCATTACAATCTCCCTCTACCTCTAGGGTCAGTAAACTAATAGTCATTCACCTGTGTGACAGGAAATCTTTCCCAAGTTGCCATGGGGGCCAGTGAGGTTGTGTTTAAGGTTATCGAGTGGAGGCCAGCCGGAGATGACTGTATATTGTTTGGATGGATCTTGTGATTAAATGTGTCACATAAAGTATTTCATCCATAATGCAAAGGACGGGGATAACCTGTATTACCTGCTAATTGGCAGTCTTTTTTTTTCTCTGGCAATCAATGAAAACACATTTTGAGTAGCTTGCCAATTATGGTGTGACGCAACAAAGGACAACTTTTATAAATAGTTGAGTGAAGGTATTGGCAACGAAACACCCTATATCATCCACTTGTACTTGTGCCTGTGTGGCCTCCAGTGATTTTCATGACAACGAATGTTACTGCCTACTGTTGGCTGAGAATCTGTGGTGGATTTCTCAAAGGGATTGCACACATGTATTCAAAGGCCCTCTTTGGAATATTTAAATAAATGGTGGTGAAGAAAAGTTCACAAAGTATTCTTACAAAAGGAGAGAGCTTGAACTGACCTCACTTTGGACTTTCCTCTAAATATCTTCAAAGGAAATAGTTTGTGTATGGAAAGTGGAATCACAAAAAAAAACAGCTTACTGTTAATGTTAAAGTTTAAAAAAACGGTTGCAATTTTCCTTGAACGCTCCACTGTGGACATTTTAAGAAAGACCACAGCAAGTGCTCGGATAGAGTAATAATCAATGTCCAAACTCTGCACAGTCGCCTCTCCTTTTATCTCACATAGCACACCATACTGTGTTCACTGTTTGTTACAATCATAGCGCAAAACAGTTGTGTCCTCGATACAAAATGGTATCTTCAGGTAACTGCCTCCTTCCCACTTCTTCTATTTTCACCACTACTTCAAACAACATGTGTATACCACAGGGAAGGGTATATTTGTTTTCTTTTCTAGAAAAAGCCTTTAGTGTCAGTATGCTGCAGAAACTGATGTTTTACCTGCAGGGTATTCCTTCCACTGAGAGGAAAGAACAGCATGTCCGAAAAGCTGACAAATGAACAGAGACAAATCTATATAAATAATTGCTAAGTGAAGTGAAGAGGAGTTGCCCATCTCCTGGAGATTGAGAGTCATCCATCACTGTAAGACTTTAATTTGAGATGTTTAGGGCTCTTGCTGGTGATAGTGTGGGAGCCGGGAGAGCCCTGTCTGAGGGGTCTGCAGGGGTCGTGGCAGAGTGTGGCTCGATGCGGGAGAAATTGCTGCCTGACAAGAAGCACGCACATGCAAGAACAATCGTTTCATCTGAGATTGGCCTTGAGACAGCAGACGGAACAACAAGATTCACTTTTTCTGATTAACATTCAGATGCTTTAAACTGTGCAAGCAAGTGTCTGACGGTTAGTTTAATCATTCTTATGGTGCTCCTGAAAAATGCACACAGACGCATAGAAACAACTGATTTAGAGCAGAATTATTTAAAAATGAATGCATTGAAGAGCCCAAGGGGAAGAGAGTCTGGAGACTCCAAATAATCTCAAGTATTGATTGTGTTAAGCCCGAGGCTCTTGATGGGCACTTACTTCAAAATGTAGTAATAGGTGGCATATCCGGATGACTGATCACTGCAGTTCCGCTTACGCTAAAGGCTGCACACCATCCCATAAATAACAGCTCCCCCTTAACAGACAGTGTGCAGTGGATCAACGATCTGATGACAGCTGAGTGGACATGTGCTTTAATTTACCGCAAAGCACTCAGTCTTTCCATTACATTTACATGGACACGGACAGCGCGGAGAAGGCATATGGAGACTTCACATTCACCCTGACAAGTGGTCTTGCTGTCTTGCTGTGGCAGATCTGTCAGGCAACGCAGGTAATTGATAACAATATGTTTCGCTTTGGCCTTCTCAACTCTCTGTCGGTCCTAAATAAGCACTTCAACTCTTAAGACGGATATTCCTCAGTCAAATATGAAGACACGGTGGGATATTGAACCATACTCATGTTTAATACAAAGTCATTTATTAGCATGTCGAAAAAACCTAGCATTATTGTCAACAAAGTGGTAATTTATTTTTCTTGGGCTCCAGGGTTATTGAGTAAAATGAATCATAAATCCCCGTTAAAAAAAAATCTAATTAAACTTGATTGCAGAGAGTTTAAGTAAACCTGTTGTTCTGAAACAGGAGAAAAACTTCCACTGAATTGTTCACAACATGCACCTGGGCAGATATTGTCACCATCCTCACTTAATATAGCACCAGTATAGTGCTTCTCTCTTCATTTATCCCCTCTAATGCAGTTGTAATACCTGAGCGGTTGGTGGCTGCATGCCCTGAATGCTCATTTTCTGCACAGTAGCCTCTGTGTACTCAAAGGGTCCAGCTCCTCTTTTCCTTTGGAAGTCGACTGCTTGGAGTGTAATTTGATTATTCCAAAGCAGGTGTTTTCAGCTGAATGCTGATAAGGAAATGCAGTGCCTCTGACACAAAAGTGAGTTGTATTAGATGTGCTTAAAATAGTGGAAGTCTTAATTTGTTTATCTAATCTGTAAGTGAAGATGGGATTGCCTTTGAAAATCTGTCTGACATAATGTTACACACATACTGAGAATAGTAAGCAAGTAATCTCCATTATTTCTGGTGCAATGCACATCAATTTAAAAGTCTTTAAAGTGACAATAGGCGTTGTCTTGTATATCTCTTCGCCCACATGCCTGCCAGTTGCTCTGACTCTAGATGCATTTGATGCAACACAGTACTTGGGATAACTGTGGCTTGGAATATTTCAAGAGATGCAACGTGGATGGTATAACAACTTCCAGTGGGACTGCTGATGTAACAATAAAATGTATAAGTTCACAGCAGATGTGGCTCAGCATCACTCTAGGGTACATTTTTAAATGTTGTGTCCTTACATTTCCTTTCTGGCTCATCTGAATGAGCATCTGCTGTGGATCGGGGGCAAGGTTACATCTGTGATCCCGTGTTTCTCAGCAAATCAGATTCTGTCGAGCTTCTTTTCTATCCTTTCAGATTGTTCTCTCTAATCCTTTCCAACACTAATAGAATGGTCTTAGCCACTTATAATATTGCTGATACACACTGAGTGCAAACAAAAGGAATCATCTCTTGCCGGAGATTGAGCCATCAGACCCCGAGTGCTGTTGCTCTCAACCAAAAGTAGTTGTATTAGCACTGCACTGTCTCAACACTGCACTGTGTAAACACTATCAGTTACATTTAAAATGAATATCACAGGTTCATTGTAATTGGACATAAATATGGATTAAACGATGTTGGCGGCTTATTTACACAGCAATTATATGGACTTTCCAAAAGCACTTGACATGCCATGGTGTGATAATCGCTGTTGAACACTCTCCAAAACAGTGTTGAAACGCTACAAAGACTTTCATATGCAAATAAACTAACCTGCAAATGAGGTCGGCACATTCAGAGTGTTACTTGATATGTGAACCTGTGAATGTGCTTTTATCAACACCTACCGAATTCTCGTTTCACTCCATAAGATATGACAGAAAGCACAAGTGACACACAACTGCGGTCCACGGACTTACAGCAGTCGTGTTCCTCACAACTGCTTCTGTTGAAACATTGTCAAGGGCACAGCTGGACCACATTTCATCACACTCAGCTAGCTGTTAGAAATAAGTGTCTTAACTGTGTTCAGAAGAAATTAAAATGCCGGTAACACAATCAAATAAAACACCTCCTGTTATGTGAAGCTCTGTCAACAAGCTATAAATGTATATCACCTGCACATGGCAAGACACGGAGTTTCTGGAAATCTGTTTAATTTCTACAGAGGTGAACTAGGGTTTGTGCAAAATGCCTACAGGCAAAAATAAGAAGGTACACTCACCATTAGTGGGATACTTTAGAGCAGAGACGTAGCCAGTTTAATCCAAATAATCACTGAATCAAACCTTTCTGCAAGAGCACACTCTCCCCTTTTACTCCTCTTTTAATTCTCTCTCTCTCCCTGCTTTCCTCTTTGGAGCCTTTCTTTCATTATCCCGCTCTTGGTGCACAGTTGAAGAGCCCACGCTGGAACAGATCAGATGCTGCGTGAGTTGCAGAGAAAAACAGCTTCGGAGTAGCTGGAGAATACACGGGAGCTAAACCAAAGTGGAGCGCGACGGTGCCGTTACAGAATGACGACTGAGAGAGGGAGCGAGTGAGCGATGAAGTGAGAGAAAGAAGCTTGTGTGTGTGCGCACATCAGAGAGGAAGTGTGTGTGAAGGGGAGAGAGAGAGATAGAGGGAGGCAAAGGGAATGTGAGAGAGTTGCTGCTGGCTCGGAGGCAAGCGACAGTCGTGATTGCATTGGCGTACGGCAGTATTTCACTCCCCCCCCCTCTCCTCAGGTCCCCTGAGCACAGGGGATCTTCATCATGAAGCAGATTAGAGCCAACTAGTAAGCACCCCGCCCCCAAACCCCCCAATGACACACAGAACCAGTGGTGTGTGCTGTGGTCACCGGGGATGTTCTAATTGGAGAGACACTCGGAGATGCTGCTTTTGTCCGGAGCTCATGAGCTTCACACCCTCTGAGGTCCCGACCGGAATTAAAGAACTTCTAGCTCTTTGCAGTCACAAGTGTGTTAATTCATATTTTCTTGGAACTGATGAAAAATAAGTTTTAGTTTGTTTGGATGTGCTGTGGAGGTTTGGGGGTCATTGGAGTGAAAGGTGTGGTTATGTGGGGGTCCAATTGACTGACAGCTGAGCCAAGGGAGGGGCTGTGATCTGTTCTGTTCAATGTTACCTCGTGCCACCATCAAGCTGCAATAAGCAGCTGACAATTACTACTTTATGCTAATACCATATAAAATAAAATGTTTTGTTTGACCACTGTTTATGCAAATGTTTTCTATTTACATAGGGGGATACCCACTGGCAATACTGTTGGCAGATAACCACAGTGGATAATACAATTAATTTGTCGCTTTTGGGTTCCAGTTTTATTTTATTTAAAGGGAGGCCAAAAGGCATGTCATTAAAACGGAAAATAAATCAACATGGCAAATTAAACAATTTAAGTTACAGCTCATCATAAATGGCAGTGCAGTATTGGGAAGATGATGTATTAGTGCAATTATGCATTCATGCATGCATGTTTATGTTCTGTGAGACATTTCACATCTGTAAGGGGTAGTTAAAAAAGTTACAGTACAAGATTCTTAACTTTTTTTCTTTAACATAGCAGTAAATACAAATACATAAGTCTAAGGATTAGGTAAGTCATTGTCAGTGGTATTTTTCAAGTGTCTTTACAATGAATAGAAGGATCAAAATGATATCAATGTTATGTAATGCCTGGTTGATATAGCACAATAGGGTGCAGAGGTGTATTGTCGGTGTCGTGATATTTGTCTTTACATGCGTGCTCGCTATGAAAGAGATGAAGATGGGGTTTGGGGGGAAACCAGTTGGAAGAGAGGAGGCATCAGCTGGTTCCTGCTAATACCCATAACCTCTCAAAAGAGACAGAGCTAATAAAGAAACCCAACACCTCCCCCGCGATTCCCAACAGAGATCACCAAAGAGGAAGAATTACATCATCAAAACATCAAAACTTTACGGTTCCTCTGAAGTCTGGCAGTTGTCGCTGATGGTGACCTAAATTCCCTTATGTTCTTGTATTGCATGATTTAATGCAAAGCTTCTTGTCTTACTTGGTCATGCAGAATACATATGTCATATTGGATCTCCCTGGCATATTGAGGAGCAACCACCAGCTTTAACCTTTTAAAATTAGACCTTGATGTGCAGAGGGAATCAAAGGTGGCACACATCACTCTATGGAAAAGGTTATGGAGGCATTAGCATTTAGTCCTCTCTATATTTCATTTTGACTGTCTTGAAGATGGACAGGGCTAACGACGAAAGAAAAAAAAAAATCTTTCTTTTCTTTCCGCTTGCTTAAAATGACTCAAACAGTTCAAATTCTCAATGCTTTCACTTTCACTGAAATCAAAGCAATTTTCTTCAATTACATATAAAAATACATCATTCCCTCTTAAATGTCAGGACAGTTGAAATCTAAACACAGGAAAATAGTAGAGTGCTTGACAGCAGGAACCACTTTATCTACAGCAAGGAAACAACACATTTGTGGAAGATTACACTGAAGTGTCCCACATCAACTCTAATCATTCCAATCATCCCATTTCCATAGTCAGCAGAAAGCTATTTGGAAAAAAAGGGAACACTAAATTGATGCCAATACTGTATGAACCAAAAAAAAGATTCTCCAAAGCTGAAAGCTGTATTTGAATGTAACTATGCAGCATTTTATACACTCAGCAGTCCTGGCTGACAGCCCTGCTCCCAGATCAACTCTGTCCAGATGGCATGACATGGCCCAAGAGGACTCCATTCGTAATCCTCTTGGCACAGGCTCAGCTAAGCAAGAGGTGGAACGGATGCTCAGAGTCAGGCGTCAATCACAGCATTTCAGACTGCTGTACGGGACACACGAGTGTCCCACGCAAGAACGCATGCAGGACACAGAGACAACAAGTGCCCTGGCATCAGTCCATAGAAAGGATTGACTGACATTTAATTGAAGGTCATGATACGTTACAGGGCAGTCATGAAGGCGCACTGCAGATATGATAAAGGCTCCAGCTGGGAAAACATAACCTTCTGGAACAGACATAGAAAATACAGGATTAAGGCCTCAACAACTCATTTGCTGAAATAAAGTAAAATGCTGTGAAGCACACATCCCATAACCTATCCAACACATTACACATTGATATTGGGGGAAAAAAGGTTTTATTTGAATTTTTAAGGCTTATTTACAGTAGCATTTTTTGCACATTTTCATTTAAATGACTTAATTTCGCAAAACTAATTTTATATAAGTAGCAGAAGGAACAATACTAGTAAAATCTGGTAAGAGTCCCCAAATCTGACTCGTTTTGGAACTCCTCATAGACACATAGGAGTTTGAAAACATCATCAGGCATTTGACAGAGGCGTATCCACATATTTGATTAAATTAATGAAATTCTTACAAATATCCCAAAAGTACAATTAATTATAATGTCTATAAAAAAAACGTCATACTGTAAAACTAATGCAGAGTACAAATAGTTGAATTGCCTTTTCGTTTATCTGTTAAGTTGAATTGCCACCAGAGAACTGCAATTGCTACTTTTTCTTATCCTTAGAATATAATTGGGGAACTACGTTAACAATTGAAATAAATAAATGAAGAGGGAAAAATAATGGTTTACGCTTCTCTCACATTTGTGTGCACTTCAAATTCAGTCTTAAGGAATTTCATTTTTCTCTGTTTAAGATAAAATGCTTCGAGCAAGATGTGTACATTTTTAGATATCAATCTTTTTTTCGTAGTGATAAGCTATTATTTTCATTAGATACATCACAAAGACACCTAAGACAAAACAGCACGGGTTGTACATTCACACAGTGGAGTTATCTTTCTGTTTTATTTGCAAGCCCCACAGTTGAAATACTTACCATTCCTCTTTCATTCATTGAGCTGAGTTCATTCTCATTTTGATGTCTTTGATGTGATGTCTCCCCAGTATTTGCGAGTCCCATTGCCATTGTTATTGTTGTTATTGTTGTTATTATTATTATTATTATCATCATCATGCGTCACTTTCCACCTTCTTCTCCAGTAGGACTCGGATGAGGGTGTTGCACTTTTCTTTTCCTTATACATGTGATGTTTTGGTGTTGTTTTGTTTCTTTCCGTAAACCGTCAAGTGGGAAATAAGTATTTTTGTTGTGTGTTTCTCTTAGTATCCTAAGGTACTGTTATGTTTGGCTGTGAAAATTATTATTATGAAGGGCAGACCATCTATTTGTATTAATTTGTTTTTTTTAGAAAGGGGCAGGTCACATAAGATTTTATTCTTCTCCCTGCTCCTTTTCGCTCATTGGTAGAGTCATGTTTTGTGAAAATTATTGTACATTTGGTTTTGCGTACCATGAGCGGGACAAATAAAAATGAAATGAAATTCTAGCACATGATAATCGCTCAAATGGCTAAATGGACATCAGTTTTCCAAACCATGATAACATATTCTTGCTTCACTCTTCTTTTCCACTCCACATGGCTGGGGATGACATGGGGGGCTGCTGGATGGGTGGGACCCAGGTGTAGTTCCTATTAGAGGCTAAGTTAATGGAATCACTAGCCTGCCTCTCTCCAGCTGAACACAGGAGCAGCCAGTCCTGAGGGACACACACACACACACATACAATTACCAGCATCAGACGCATCATCCTGAAACAAATACTCAAGATCTGCGGATCACGATTTCTGGTTATGGTGACATTTAAATCAAGCACACAGTGGTTTTGAATAGCTGAGACAAATCTTTGCAATAGATTGAGGAGAGTTAATGTCAACAATTTGTATTATACATATTACAGTAAACCTAATTTGATTTGCATCACATTTTTATTTTTGAGAAGAACATTCCATATATGATAGTTACATTGGTTTAAGGTTCAGAGGCCTTATTGACATATGCATATTACTACAGCATAGACGTTGGCAATGAACATTCTTATGACCCAGGCATCCCATCAATACGACAAAGTATGCATACTTAACATACAAAATGGCGCACAAACATCAAGCGTGACACAGTGGTGCATTTATAAATGCAGGAATAAGTAGTCTACTGAAAAGGCTAGCAACAATTCAAAAATGTAAAATTACATTTTGTACAGCTTATTGTAATAATATATAATATGTGCATTATTCACAATTGTGGTAAAAACATTATTTTGGCTGAGAAAAACATTCTTTATTGCAGTGAATCAGTTAGTGACAACATGTGATGTTAAAGCGCTGCTTAGCCTTGTGGAATAAGTGTTCAATCAGAACAAACAAATCTTTAATTAAGTATGCTCACATAAAAACACTCCTCACAATCAAGACCTGGCTGAGAGTGTTTTTTAGAAAAATTCAAATACTGTTTACTGATCACAGTACCATTGCCGCATTGATCTGAATGGAGCAGTAATTAAGACAGCATGCGTTTCCGAGAGTTGCTTGAACGGAGCGAGCCAAACACTCGGTCTGACAATGCCCCGCAACACAGGTTGCCATTAACAACAATCAGTGCAGGCACCATGAATGAGACATCCAATCACTTTCCCAAAGCTGTAGGCATACTGCTAACCT